CCAGGGGGCAGGGGTTATGAAATCCACAATGTTTGTTCCCTTCATCAATAAGTGCTATATGCTGAAATAGGTTGAAATTGGTTGAGTGATTTAGAGAGGTGCTGAAAATATTGAAATGTTAACAGACGACGCACGACGACGGACGAAAACGGATAGCAATAGGTCACATTAGTTTTTCATGTGACATAAAAATAGAAATATAGGTAAATGCAATCAGTTGATCCCTTACAATATATATGGTGGTGCAATAATGGTTGAGTTTTAAGTCACCACTGTTTACCGAAAATCATTCAGATATTGAACAGGTTTCACAGAGCGAAAAAAAAGCTTGGTAGTCCATTAACTTTCACTTATTTTTTTTTATCTGGAACCTAATTATATATTCTTCATTAGCTCTGAGTTTACTTCTGATAGGTATCTGTGATTTATTATAGTACATGTATAAAAAACAAATACTTTAATTTACTAATGGATACAATATATCATATTATTATTTAAAACTGATATATTAACTTTAGTAAAAGCATTCATTCATTTATTGTGAGTAATTCTATTTGATGATATTTTATATTTATTATATTCAAGTACACTAAACGGTAACGTTGTTTGTCATACTAGTTACAGTTAATAATAGGACACTATCATTTTACAGTGTCAAAATACATATTCTGATTATTATAATGTAAGGCTGTCATTGAGTATTCGAGTAATAGAATAATTGTTCAAATATTTTAAACAATCAATGCGTCGAAATAATTTACATTTATTCATTATTGATTTCAATTTTATTTCAGGTTGTTTTCATTCTTGTTTATTCCATGGCCACTTCCTTGGGTATGTTTTTTTTCATATTTGGTAAAGGTTATATAATGTTTTTAAATCACTGAGAAATCGCCTATGATTTTTTTTCTCATCATTTATTTCCCAGACCTATAACAGTCAACAGCTGATAAGTTGGGCAGCTGCCAGGGATGGGGCCCTGACTAAGCTCCCTCTATAACAATACATAATAATAATCCTACAGCACCACGCAGGGTGCTTTATTATTTAAATACAGAGTCACACATAATTTTACATCTAATACATATTATAAATCAAATAATATACGTATATATAAATATGGAATCAGTTTTGGTGAAAATGTGACAATAAAATGTAAATATATAACTATGAAAACATCATTGTATTATTATATAAATCTGTTCTTAGGAAAACAAAAACAACTAGCACTACTACTAAACTACTAAACACTAGATATTTACAAACTTAGTTACATGTTGAATTGGAAATTTTTAAGAACACTATAATTAAAGAAAGAAATCCGGACCGCTATGAAATACGTCCGGTCTATCGGGTATGCTCGGGTGAAGTGCGATTTACATAATTGAACGAATTAATTATGCTAATTAATTACGACAATCAGTAAATCGTACATTGTTTTATTCTCTCAATATGGCGTAACTATACTTGATAAAGAATAATCAAAGAAAAATAATACAGCAGGGATATTTTAAAATATGAATTATGATCTATTATAAATTTTGAAATATTATAGGACTTTAAAGAAATTTTTAAGAACACTGTTATTTAAGAAATAAATCCGGACCGCTATGAAATACGTCCGATCTATCGGGTATACTCGGGTGAAGTGCGATTTACATAATTGAACGAATTAATTATGCTAATTAATTACGACAATCAGTAAATCGTACATTGTTTCATTCTCTCAATATGGCATAACTATACTTGATAAAGAATAATCAAAGAAAAATGATACAGCAGGGATATTTTAAAATATGAATTATGATTTATTATAAATTAACAAAAGCGTAAACAATTCATAGTTATGTGGGTTGTTCGAGAGTTGGTGATGCAAATTTTCTGTAGAGTTAACACTAAATTGAGAGAATAATCCTGTTTAGTATCTTCAGGAATTGGGTCTAGTTTACGTTCATTCTGGTTAAGTCATTCAGTTTGTTAATGCCACTAGGGCGGAATGACTTCAGTTTGTGCATCCAGAACTTTTCCTTGCTTTTTCTCTGAGCGTCTGTCCATCTTGGGTTATGGTCAATCACCACTACTGTCATGTCTTCCCATTTGTGACCCTCAAGGTTGAAATGTTCCCCAACAGGTTCATTGAGTTTTTTGGTCCTAATGGTCGAACGATGGTTATTGACTCTCCTGCGGAGATCTCCTGTTTCACCAATATACTGTTTGGAGCAAACTCTGCAACTGATGAGATAAATGCAGTTGTCAGTATGACAGGACAAATTCCTTAGTATTTTGTAGCTGCGGCCTCTAACAGGGCTGTTAAAACTGTCCATGTCAGTGCTGTGCTTACAAAGAAGACATCTTCTGTCAGAGCAAGTTTTAAAGCCCCCGTTAGGTAATTGGTTGTCCAGTCTGGTTCTTACTACCATGTCCTTTAGGTTCCTTGGGCGTCTGTATGCAGCCAATGGGGGTTCCTTAAATACCTCTGCCATTCGTTTGTTTGAATGGAGAATTGGTAGGTTCTTTTGAAGGATACCGCTAAGGTTCTTAAGGACGGGATGGTATGTGGTTACCAGAGGGACCCTGCCGCTATTTTCTTTATCCTTGTAGCGTAATAGGTTTTGCCTTTCATGTCCCGCCATCTCATCAATAGCTGTTTGTACGGTGCGGGCATTGTAGCCTCTTTTGCATAAGTGGGACTTAAGAAGACATATCGTCAAGAGTTTTGGTAATGGCGGTGGAGAATTCTTTAGTAGGGTCAGAGTCCAGTTTCTTATAGAAAAGTTCTTCTGAGAGCTGTCTTAGGGCCTCCGCCATGTAAGTCTCTTTATCCATTACTACAACTGTAGAGCCTTTGTCTGCTTTCTTAATTACAATGTCATCCCGATTTTTTAATGATTGTAAGGCAGATCTCTCCTCCTTACTCAAATTCTCGGGAGTTTTGTCTGGCATTGAAAGGAGCTTCTCTATGTCTGACTCAACGGCGTCAATATACGACTCAAGCGCGCCGCACTTGCCCGGTGTAGGTTCCCAGGCACTCTTGGGCTTATAGAGTTTGTGTTCCTCTAGGTTTTGTAAGTCTGGCTTGGAAGAGTCGTATGAATTTGCTTCGGAGTCTTTTCTAGAGAAGTGCTCCTTCAAACGAAGTCTCCGGAAGAATGCTCGGGTGTCCTCTCTGACTTGTTTTTCGTCGACCTCATGTGGGGCAGAAATTTAGACCCTTTGAGAGAAGTGAGGTCTCCGATTCGGAGAGAGGAGCACTAGATGTATTGAGCACTGGGCAGACGTCAGGAGTTTGTATGGGTCCGTCCCTCGCGAATTTCTTAATGAGTTTGAAGCGTCTCGAGGGGGGTTTACGTGTTTTGTTAACTCTGACCTCTGACCAGTTGTTCCTAGACTGTGGAACACTGTCGCGGAGAAATTTCTTTTTTTGAGTCTTGTTGACTTTGTTTGTTAGGGCCATATTATAGGTGTCTATAATATTATGGGCTTCGTCAAGATCGGCCTGGGACATGATATCGTTGAGGGATGATTCTAAGGACTTGATCTCACTCCTCAATTGTCCTAACTTGTGGATATCCCAAGAAAGACAGAGTGACATCAGTTGTTTAGAACATCTCCTTGTAATAACGTCCCAGCGTTCCTGGAAGCGTTTGGAGATTGGCCCTATGTTAGGTGTAACATTTATCTGAAAGCCTTTTGGTATAATGTCACACTCTAAGTAGGTCTGTAAATTGGAGACCCGGTGTTCAGTTTTTATAGATTTTTGGTGTTCTTTCTTTAGAAGTTTGAATGTTGATTTATCTTTAATAGACATATTTGAAAGGAAATTATAAAGGCCAAAATGAGAACAATACTTTTAAGATTTTTGTCGTATGAAGTCGAAAGATTCAACGAACGATTGTTCTGTACTATTACGTATTTCGTAGATAACTCGTGCAAGAATGCAAAAATTTAAAAAAAAAAAATGAGTAAAACTCGAAAGGGAAAATGGAATGAACTAATTTGCAAAGGTTGGAAAAAAACAAAATAGTAAAAAACGTAAAATGACGAAAGACATATTAACCAAAAACAAATGAAAAGAACAGAAAATATAAAAATAAAGAAATGATGGATATACGGGTGGATCTGTGAAGATACAGTTGGCGAAAAAGGATATAAAAAGCACTAAAAAACCAACAACACTGTATATCCTAAATGTCGGATCTACCGATTCTTTAATTATAGTGTTCTTAAAAATTTCCAATTCAACATGTAACTTAGTTTGTAAATATATAGTGTTTAGTAGTTTAGTAGTAGTGCTAGTTGTTTTTGTTTTTCTTTTTCCTTTGTTCTTATGACTTTTTAACTTTTTTATTTGTCCTGAGGAAGGGACAGGGCGTCCCGAAAATTTGACAATTTTTATTGTTCGTGTCGTTGGTCATTTTAGTGCTTTATATAAATTTCCATCCGTGACCTTGTATCTACTTGGTAGATCCGACATTTAGGATATACAGTGTTGTTGGTTTTTTAGTGCTTTTTATATAATATATATAATGTATATATAATCCGATGAAAATATTAAACTGTCGCGAAATTTGATATTTGTTTTCATTTCGTGCATTTTAAAATCTTGCAAATCCTGCATCGTAATGTAGAGTGTTTTCTTTTCATGTGTATTTGTGAGAAGTAGAAGCACTGTGCTAAAAGCCTTTTGATTATTTCCGGTATTTAGTTCGGTTCGCAAGTATCAAAAATCAGCTCCGTTTGGAGACAGCTAAATTTCCAGTTAGCGACGTTTCTGACGTATTCCTGGCACTCAAGATATCAAAATAGTAATTTCAAAAGCCTGGAAAATGTCAGATATTTCGGACTAAGTGTTACAACAGACTCAAAATCTATTATTTTTTTAAAAAAAAAACATTATATAGCGGAATCGAACAACACTACAACAGAATTATCATCAACAACCACTGATCAAATAGCGAACAACTCATCGTCTTCAACACCTGCGCATACAACTTTACTTAATGAGTAAGCACATTTAGGCTTTATTGTAATTTTAATGAATATACTTAATATCAAGCATTGTTTTAATTTGTTCTCCTCATTTTGCAAAGTCTATTATAAAGTACATTAACCAATGAAAATAGATGATTTTCATGCTATCATATTTGTGAAAAAGCGACTTATTTTGTTCTGAGTCCCCTCACATCCAGTGAAGGAGTTAAAATACTACAGCCTAAACAGAGGGAGGTATCAAGGGTAGATATATACTTTAGGGAAGGACCGAACAATTCCTCTCCTTCAGTGTTTGATGTGTATCTGGGAGACCGCTTCTATATGTTTATTACATACACAGGTGGTAAGTAGTTTATCTTCACTTTTGTATCCATTTACCTTTTTGTATCAGTAATCTTGCTTTTCAAGATTTTTATATGAATAATTATTCGTGCTAATCAGTATATACAAGTACTTCAATTGAAATATGAGGATAACGAACAGTTAGGTCCTCAGGTGGGATCAGGTACCATGGAGAAGTGAGCATCCCCTGTTGGGTCACACCCTCTTTGTGCTCCTTGTCATGATCTCATAATCAAGCAAATTTGGTATCTGATCTTTGCTTTTTCCAATTCTCATTTTTGATGCATTTAAAAATGAAAAGCTTCACATTGAGATCAAACAACCACATAGATCGCAAACCTTTTATTTTTTTTCTTTAAGAACATCATGTCATCAGACCAGTAGAATGCAAGGCCTTCTCTGGCACAGTAGTAAAAGAAGGATCAGAAAACGTGACTCTTTGGAATACAAGGTGACTGGTTTTATTTAAGGATTTTATTTATCGGTAAAGAAAATTGGTCATAAGTCATTGCATTTCAGAATAGGTTCAAACTTAGTCATTTTGAGGTAAATCAATTTGAAACTTATTTACTTTTTTATCTAAATACTCCAGAAAGTGAGACTTCACATGTTTTAGCCCTAGAGTATTATTCCCTCAATTATATCCATTCTTTCGTGTCCATACTTTACATTGGAATAACGAAATTATGAATTGATAAACAAAAATTATGCTCATTGGCATAACTTTCTATTTCTAGTTCCTGTAACTCGACAGAGAGCAACGTCTTAATGGACAATTTCGATCAGACATCACCTCAAGTTTTACGAGCTCGACTGTATGGATTTCGCTTCAAATCAAGTTCATATGTCACCATAGAATGTATAGTTCGTATCTGTAGACAGAATACAAACTGTGCAGATGAAGAGGTAGACTAGAAAATGAAGACTAGTAAAAAAAAAAATATCAGCTGATTAGTTGACAGATATGATTTTATATTAAAAATGATTTTATTTTAGATTTGTCATGAAAGTAGAAAAAGGCGTCGCAGGAAGGAACCATCAGCTCTTAGCTCGTCGTTTTTCAAGGTTCTGAATCGGAATAGAATTCACAGTAAGAATTTAATACCGGTATATATGTACGAGTATATTCATTTTTCGAGTCTTTTAAATCTTGAAAAAAAAAAATTATATGCATTAGCCTGAAGTAACATTATGATACTAACTATTGCTGGCTAATTCAGTAATCTCTAATATAAAGAAATTATAGTGTATTTTACCAAAACAAACAATCGGTTTCCTCAGGAAGTTAAATCGTTCATTATTCATTTTCAAAGATAACTAATATTTTCTGCTTGTCTTCCATCTGGCAGCTGGGTGCACTAATTTATCTAATCTTAGAAATGGCAGTTTGTGTTTAATGAAGATGATTTAGATTGCATTTCTCGAATTTTTCACTCGTTTGGAAACGCTGCCAATTGTAGGTGGTGACCGGCATTTTTCCCTAATATACTCGGCACTCAGAACCATTGAACAGTAAGGGATCTTTTTCATACCAGCACCTACTGCGACACGGGAACTCGGTTTATAAAATACGATCTCATACGAAGGACCGGTCTCCACGTTCCACAATGGGATTCGAATCCGCGACGTAAGGATCAATTCCTTACTTCACAACTCTAGAGCAGACGCTCTTACCACTGCACTACGACATTGAGGACACATGAATTCTATGAAAATTACATGTCTTTAACGTTTTTTATATAAATATATAAAAACAAGTACTCTTATCATTGTACATTTTGTGTTATTTTAGAATTTTCGAAAGCAAGTAAATATGAGTCGTGCATTATTGAGATTCATGTCCGTTGCCCAATCATTTTAGTTAATTTAATGAAAGATTGTTTAAAGTTTAAGTCCTGTATATTTACTCCTTAATATATCTACACTGACGTAAATTAAGAATACTCCAGAATAGGTTGTTACAATAAATGAAAGCGCAAAGGGATGGATTTTCTATAGCATGATAATTGCAATCTGAAAGAACGGATTGTCTGAATCGAGAGATCTAATTGATAATCAGTTGGAAGGGACTGTTTAATTCCAGAGTTACTTTCTTGAGAAAACAATGTTAATGTTTTCTTTTCTGCTAAATGAAAGATAACAGAATATAATTTTTAAGCTTTTTTAAAGCAAAGACTGTCTCTGTAATAAATACATACAATACAATGACCATGTCAGCAATTACATGTACAACCCATCATTAGTTCGTATTCTGATTGATATACAAATTGTTAGACCTTTGTTTTCATGCTAAATTCTACTATTCTGTCTACCTGATGAATACATAAGGCTCTAGGCGGGCGTGACTTATAAAAGGGGACGCTTTCTCATTATAGCACCTGATTCCGTATCTGGAATCTCAAGGGGTCCGTGTTTTGCCTTTTCCACAGTTTTGTATTGTTTGTATTACATAATTTTTAGATTTTATGATGTAATGTTGTAAATGTATCGCTAACTATGAAATAATATGATTTTTTATATTTGTAGATGGAGCTGAAACAATCCCCGTATTTCATCGATTCACACTGTGTTTCATGTTTGTACTGGCCCTTTTTATCAAGACTCCATATATTATATAAAATTTATATTATAAATACTATAATATAAATTAATTAATACTTTAATTTCATTTTAATAATCACAAAAATTCAGGCTGTTAATCTGAAAGGAAATAAAACAAATATTAAACAATAATCATTCTTATTTTTAGTACACTTGATTTCCAGTAGTTCCACAAAAAATAGGTGCATATAGTTTTGTGTGAACATACACTATGATGTAGATCCCAATGCCATTAAAAGCTGAAGATCGGAAAAGAGACCAAAGATGCACACATCTCAAGTGTCCATTCAGTGTACATCTATCAAAGATAACATATTGTTCTGTTCATTATGATAAATATACTAGTCATTAAAACATTTTTACAATAATAATTTTTTCTTACTTATTTTATGATGAAACTAGTACAGTGTGATATCAACCTCGTGATGTGATTTACAGTACCATTCAACATTTTTTAATACAGACCAATAACCAAAGATACGAAACTCGTCGACAATTTTATCTTTCCTGAAATTAAGATAATGTATTCATATTCGTTTTTTTTTTATTTTCACACATTTATTCAAATATTAGCCAGAATTTTACCTAACCCCTACCACTCATCCTGACTAGAGGGTATGGGGTGTTATAATTTAAATCACAGTCACCCACCCATACATACAGATAGACATTCCATCTGTATATATATACATAGTTATTACGTGAAATCAAAGATGTCTAAAAGTAAGCTCATTTTATTAGGACTTTCCCCCTAAAACCGTTTTTACTGCAGCCACATTCACCTTCAAATAGCTAGTTCATATATACACCCTCTTTTCCTCCACATCATTTTCGCTTGGTTGTAATTGGACGGATGGTTCGACAAAAAATTAGCCACTATGTCTTTACATTATTACCCCCCCCCCCCCCCCTAGTAAAAGTAAAAACCCAATCGTCTTTTCATCAAATGTCTATTATCCATAATGTAGAAAAATAAATAAGTAAATATACATGTACAAATTACTGATTGATTGAATTTTGCTTAACGCTGAGTCGGCAAGATTTCAACATTTATCGGCGGGAAATTTTCATCTGTTGCATGCAAAAAACATGTAGTTGATAACCTTAATATAGGGAACTGTTTAAAAATATGTTAACCATTAAAAGAGATTTCATCAACAAAATATCTCATAATGTACAAAATTTTACTTTAAAAATTAATTTGATGTAAATAATCTAAAATTCATTGTAAAAAAAAAAATAATAATCATGCATCGTTGGTACATTTTTAATTAACTTCGTGTGTGAGAAACCCCACCTAATTTTAGAAGAATAAGATTTATAGTTACATGTAGCGGAAAGTCATGGGAAACGTAGTATACACATTGGCTGAAATTCTCGACTCAATAAGTATGCATGCATTATTTTTGGAAGATGATTTTTTATTTTTTGTTCTTTATAGCATGTTGTGACATGACCCGGTGAGTTTTCCTTTGAAGTCAAGCATACTGTAACTGCGATACAGAACACTTTTGTGGGCGTTTCTTATGCAAATGAACAGAAACAGTACTGTATCAGCAAAATATCAACGATACAGTGCGGTTTATTTTTAGCGATGACGGAAAGCTGTATCCATATTCAGACACAACAATCGTTCGATTCGCATGATAGCACTGTTAGTAATTACTCAAAATTTGAGGTGATTTTATTAAGAATAAAATTTTACAAAATAAACTTAGTGTCAGATTAAAAAGAAAGAAAGGAGGGAGTGGGGCAGTTAAAAAAGGATTACTTTGAACACAACACACCCCAACCCCCCCCCCCCTGAAAATCGTATTTCGGGGTGGGTGGTAGGGGTGGGGTGGGTGTGGTAGGTTTATAATCAATTGCAACCAAGACACTATGTGCGTTACTTGTTGATAAATTAAAAAGAGTATGTATAAACGATTGGCAAAAATAATTTACAAAAGCGAAAAAAGAAAAAAAAAAACTTTAAGTTTGGTGGGATACTGTACATTTAATTTAAACATGAAACTAAAATACCCCCCCCCCCCTTCCTTTTATCTGTTTATTTCAATTTTGTATATGATGACAGGTGGAGGATATTGTCGGAGATTTCTCTCAGAATACTTTATATCCGAAGCATTTTTGTTTCAAAATACGATTCCTATATATAAATATGTTTTGCATTAATTCGTAGCTTAAATTTAAAAAAAAAAAAAATGTCAACAAGAGCTGAATAGATAAAAAAAAAACTCTACCCAAATTTTTTTGAAAACAAATTATATAATGCATCCCCCAAATGATTATTTTTAAAATAATAGTAAATAATTACCTGCACGTCCACCTCACTCGGCATTTCAGTTGCGAATGCTTAAAATGGGATACTTAATCAACTTTCTGCCAAAATCATCTGATTGGTTGAGAGATATGTACCCAAATATGAATGTAAATTGGTGAGGTCATTAGAAAGGTCATGTCACAAGTCATTTAGAATACTCGTTTCCTACTGTATCAGAGACGCAACATTCTAATGCATTTGAAAAAGAGGTTTTACATAATGTTTACAAAATATTTTTATCAACAGAAAAAAGTGAAGGGATATCAATATGAATGTCAGAAATGCAAAAATTGTAATTTCTTTGTTACCTTGAGTATTAGAAATGCATTGAGGGAAAGAAAAAGAAAAACACAAGCTTTGTTGAATTACATGTACAGAACATTTTCTTTCTTTTACAATTCAATTAACTGCAAACATTGATTACGTATAGACTGTATTGAGAATGTCTTACTGAATATTTTATTAGAAAATTCAGTTAAGCCAATTAAAAAAAGAATAAATAATGCTATGAATTAGATAGTCGGATTCTGCTTGGGTGATTATTATTCGATATTCAGCCAGCGAGATAGCTTTATATACATGTATGCTGACTTAAGAAGCCCCCCCCCCCCCCCTCCCCAAAGAAAAAAAAAACATTGACTCTCATTTAGAGAAAAATAATATGTATGAAGGCACGCGGCGTACGCATCGACAACAATCCTGCTATCCCGTTCCTAATCCAGTCCAACACAACACTTATGAAATTATAGATTAAGAATTATAATTAAGTTATCTGTTGTTAGTATCCACCCTCTCTTCAAAAAAGAGAATTGTATAAGAATTTTATAATGTTGAGAACGTTTTGATGTTATAGTTGAAAGTCTTAGTACAAAACGAAACCATATTCCTGTTATTCACGAACAGATGAAATCCTGGCTCAAGATGATTTTTGCAGAAATGTTTGGTGATAACGGGGTTCAAAATACTTAACATTATGCTGAATATTTAAGAACACCTTTCACAAAACTATTGTTTTTTTTTACATCCGACTTTAGAGTATTTTTTTTTTTTGGTTTACAACTGTTTAAAATATTAATGACGTAGATGGATATGTTTTACAAACCGGGCCCATCTTCTTACATTTTCGCCAGTCAAGTTAAAGAAATTTAAAATCATTAAAAAAATCCTCGGTATTTTTTTTTTTTTTTTATAAATTTGCAAAATAAGGAGTGAAATATCTAAGAAAATTTACTTAAAATCTGGTAATGGAAGAGAGACAAAAGTTAAGATAGAGAGAAAAAAACGTCTTTTTTAAAGGAAATGATTCCCCTTGTTGAGCCTCTTTTTGCGTCAAAGGGAAGCAACTTGCACAATTTATCGTATCCAGTCGCTACGGACATTACGTGTTTCCGTTTGAGAATTACTTATATATGAAGAAATTGCCTTAAACAACACCAGAATTACTTGTTTCTTGATATCTCTTAATATTGTAGTTAGAAAAACGCGTTTTAAAAGTTGTTGAATCGTGGCCTTTGTACATTTTGTACTGAATCGATATGCTTAGCTGTTTGTTTTGTTTTGGTTGGTTGGTTAATATTCTGTGATAAATTTGAAAATACACGTAAATTCATTCAAAGACATGAAACATTAAAGTATATCTAATATAATATTGCGAATTTAATCGTGCGTGAATGAATACACGTGCACACGATGATAGTAAATGAAGTTCACACACTAGGTTATTACTGCATCAGTACATGTGCGATTTTCTGTGCCAGATTTCGTCTCCTCTGGTTTAAATTTATACTCTAAACTACAATAAAAAATATATTCTGTACTTCCTCAGTAATGCACCATGCCATTTTTTCTTCGCTGTATGTCAACCAACTTATTATTTATCTAGTGTTGGATATGGCCTTCCGTCTTCTGCTGTTTGAAAAAAAATAAGTGTAGATCGGACTCGGCATTCCTCTGGCTTGTGTTTACATTGATCCATGGTAACAATAAAAAATAAGGCTCTACGAAGGAGAATACATTAAAAAATGTTTATTTTATTAGTACATGTTTTAAATGATCCGATTTTTTAAAGAAAAAAATCTTTAAACTGCAGTTGACGATGTCTAAAACATTCCTCAACGTGAAAACCATGTGTAGTAAAAATACCGGGAAATCTTTCTCAACTTTATTCGCTTTTTTCTCATTATGACGTTGCATACGATAAGGTCGATTTCTATCCGACGAGGCTCATATACTAATTGAACTATAATTACATTATTTTGTTTTTTGAAAAATAGACATATTTCTAGTTAAATATGATTCTATCTATTTATGTTTAAGTATTTTTGCCAACAAAAAATAAAATTTAAATCTAACAACTTGAAAAAAAATCAATCATGCATACATTGACATATATAAATTTCCATTTACACATTTCTTCATGTTATTACAAAACATTTGAATCAAGAACAAATGCAAAGATATAAATATACTTTTTAAACAATATTTCACACTATTCATAGATATACAGACTTATTCATTTAGTTTTGTGAAAAGATTCCATTTCTCATCAAATTCTAGTACATTTATATATATAAGTTGACATAACTTGTGTCCAATCCCATTGATTGTGTTCAATATAATATGTTTAAATCAACTAGTATATTTGTTTTTAATGCTCTTTGTATTCATTCAGTTTTGTGAAAAGATTCCATTTCTCATCAAATAAACTGGTACATTTGTTTTTTTAATGCTCTCTGTTTTTTCAATTTTATACAAATTGGTCCATATAGTTTTAAAGTTGTTTAATTATTATTATAAAGGATTTTCTTTACACCTGGAACAGATATATATTATATTCAATTGACAGTTTATTTAATTAATCATTTCGCTTTCAGCACAACCAAACAATTTTTTTTTCATCAATTACAATATCAAATGAAAAAAGTCATAAAACCAAGCATAAACATTTATTAAAAATGTATATTTAATTCTACATATTCATTCTAAAGATGTTCTAGTGTTTCCTTTTCTTTGCTACAAAAACTGCATATACGAGGGCTGTTCAATAAAGAAATTGCTCGGAAAGAAGCAAAAGACGCTTTTCAATGATTTAGTCTTAATAAATTAACTTAAAAATTCTCTTTCAATTAAAATCCATGTCCATAAAAAAATTATCCAACTCCTGGCCCTTAGTATACTGAAAAATGGCAGATCTTATGATTTCTTGACTAGTTTCCTCGTTCGGAAAGGTGTTTTTACAAGTTTGGAAAATGAAACAAGTCAAAAGGCGAAAGATGGATATGAAGATAACGAAGAGTATTCAGTCTCAAAGTCCATAAAACTATACAAAATAAGAGCAAAGCAAACACGGACCCCCGAAACATCAGAGGTGGGATCAGGTGCCATGGAGGTGTGAGCAATATATCTTGCGAATATTGTTAGTGTGAAAAAAAAATCACTTTTTGTTTATCCCAAAAACTCCTTTACTCTTCATGACGTTTGGGTGTGGACGCTGTCTTGAAGAAAATTTAATATAGTGGATTCCTGATTCTGGTTCCCTCCTTTCATTAACCCTTCGATTTTTTGGCAAAAAAAAATTTTTTAAAAAATGCTTTCTAGACTCTTCCAAAAATTGCATATAACACTGTCTTTATGTTCTTGCAATTCTTTGCTCTTTTCGGACCTTTCCTGTTTTTGTCAAGCACATCATATTGTAAATTTTGTTTCGAGGGTTTTAAGCAATAGATTCAAGTTTCATTATTTGTTTGAATTTCAAACAAACTTGGATAACTACAATTTTTCATTTTTTTAAAATAATTGTTTAGATATTCTTACACGCTGTCGTTTCACTCAGTTTTCAAAACATAGGGTGATCTTTGAGAACTTAGAACATAAACTACTTATTCAGCCAATCAAATGCTTCCATTTCTCGCGAAGTATTGATTCTTCGTGGTGAAGAATTCTTCTATTTCTGAAAAATTCAACCGTGTCTGATTGGTTCACTTGACAGTTATATGGGTGTGTCTTCATTGATCTTTGTTCAGCACACAAAGAGAAACTATTTAAAAAGAATTCTTTACCATGAAGAATGAATTGGAAGCATTTGATTGGCTGAATAAGTAGGTTATGTTTTAATTTGATTATTTGTGTTTGTAGGTAGAGCTGAAACAATCCCCGTACTTCATCGATTCACACTGCGCTGCATGTTTGTACTGGCCCCTTTTATCAAGACTCCATATATTATATAAAATTTATATTATCAAGTAATTAATACTTTAATTTCATTAAAATAATCACAAAATGCGTTATGGTTGTAGGATAAAAATCCAGGCTATTAATCTGAAGGAAAATAAAACAAATATTAAACAATAATCTTTTGTATTTTTAGTACACTTGTTCCACAAAAAATAGGTGCATATATATTCATGTATAAGGTTTTGCGTGTACATACACTATAGCAACAAAATACAACATAATCAGGCTGGAATTTTCATTTATTCAAGAATGGGTTTTATTCTTCTTTTTTTCTTGGCTTGGATAATATGTTATTGTTGTGTTGAAAATCCTGTGCATGTTAGTTAATTGTACATTTTTTCAAAAAACAAGATCTTAAGTATTTTGGCAGGATGGGCTGGGATTGGGAGGTAATCACCAGAATTTAGCAATTTTACGTATAATGTGTTGCCATTGCATTGATTTCAATAATGTAAAAATCGCTATAATAGTGCGCAAGTTTAACTCAAGCTAGCAAAAAACTGGCACAACCAATAAAAAAATGTCTGTAAAATATTTTATCGCAATTATTTTTTCTTTCCAATAGTGCACAAATTATTTTAATATTTGCAATATTAAGAAAGTTATGGAAGTTTGTTCACACTATACTGAGTACTCGATTTTCAAGTCGGATGCGTAGAAATGCGTATATGCCATGAATATCGCAAAAGAGACCAAAGGTGCACACACCTCAAGTGTCCATTCAGTGTATATTTATCAAAGTTAACATTGTTCTGTTCATTATGATAAATATACTAGTCCTTAAAACATTTTTACAATAATATTTTTTCTGTACTTATTTTATGATGAAACTTACAGTGTGATATACAACCTCGTGATGTGATTTACAGAACCATTTAACATCTTTTAATACAAAACTAATGAGCAAAGATACGAAACTCGTCGAGAATTTCATCTTGCTTGAAATTCAGATAAAGGACTGGTATTCGTTAATAACTTTTCAGTCGTGCAAAAACATTATAAACTAGGAGACTTATTGTTCACAGAACAATAAGAGGTCTTTCCACCATCTTTGAATTTCAAATTTGTTTAATATTTACCTCTTTTAAATTAAAAATAATGAAAAAAATCCAGAAGTGGCTTAAAGCATTAAAAAAGTAACATTTTAAAATGTCCTTGACCTTTGACTTTGAAAAATTTCAAGGTCAAAGGTTAAGAGTCAGATTGCAATTAATCCCATGCCCCTATGACTTATAGTTTTAAAGATATGAGGTTTTATAGTTAGCACAAAGACTTTAAAGGGTGATAACTTATATAAGGGGTCATAAGATCCTTTTGAACTGAAACTCTATAAAGTTCTGACTAAAGACCCTTAAGACATCAGTGAACATTTCATGTCTCTACGGTTTACAGTTTCGAAGGAGTAGCGATAACAAGGTTTTTTTTCACAAGGGGCATTAACTTTTCAAAGGGTCAATCTAAGGGGACAAGACTAAAAATCTTTGAAAGAGTTGTAAGAGTACATATTAAAGACAAAAGATAGATAGTATATGTTTAAGGACGTTAAGAGCTATAGAAGACAATTTAATTCTCATTTTTGGAATGACCTTGACCTTTGACCTTGATATAAATTTGAAGGTCAAAGGTCAATAAATCTTTTGCAGTTGGTTTCATGTCTCTACGACTTCTCGTTTTCAAAATTTTTAATTTTTTGTAAAATTTAGACACTTTCAGGGGCAATAATTCATTTGTAACCGAGCAGCAAGGCAGATGTTATGTTTTCATAATTTATTCAGGAAATAAAGGCATTGATCTAAAATAAACAAAGTACATAAAAAGTCAAAATTACAAAAATTGAGAAAATAATATATGAGATAATTTACCTACAGTATACGTTTAAGAAAAAGTTAACTCTGTGAAAAAATGTGTACTGTAAACAATTCAAGTTGAAACCTTACAGCCTCATTATAATTTCAGTTACAACTTTGAATGCAAAAATACAATAAAGTAAAAGGATTGCAATCAAAATAATAACGTAGATCAAATCTTTATATGGCAATGAAACACATAATCAAATATACAAGTTACATAAGATGTGTATGATAGACACTGGATTTAAAATATACTTCTTTCTGGAAAGCGTATTACTGCTCTGATATACAAGGTAAAGCGCGGTAAATTTATACTTATAATGAAAATGTATCATTTGATGAAAAAATAAGAAATAACCAATCAAATGAAAGAGCCAATGGAATCATAGAATAAAACTTTACTCAGGCAACTCAATCCAGGTGCGCAATAGAACTTTTGGTTAATCAAATTTTAAGATTATATTTCTCAAAACGATATGAAAAAATAAATAAAATCGAATAAATACATATAGAAATAGATTTCATAATATCACACATTGAAGGGGTCGAAGAACTTTCACAATAATTAAACTGAAAAATCTCCATATCTCTACGGTAAACGGTTTCGAAGGAGTAGCGATAACAAGCGATACTATGAAAGAGGCAATAACTGCATAAGGGATCAAAGTTTAAATATAAAGTTTTGATATCCAGTATCATGAACTATTAAGTTTTTCGATAAGTCTTACGGTCTCAAAAGCTAAGGTCAGAGATAAAATAAAAAAAACATAAGCATTTCAATAGGTCTTTCCACAGAAAGGTGGAAAGACCTAATAAGCATTTCAATACCGGTAGGTCTTTCCACAGAAAGGTGGAAAGACCTAAATATAAAAGCATGTGCATGTTTACGAGAGTGTACACAGACAGGCATTTAAATGCATTTAGGGCCAGATTTAGTTTTTTTTTTTTTAAATAGAGACAAAAATGTATCCACATTGTATGCAAGATTTTTTTTTCAAATGTGAAGAGAGAAAATTATTAACAAAATATCAAACTGAGTTTATATTATATTTTTTTTTTAATACATGGTCGGATAGGCTAATAACCCACTTGAGAGAGAGAGAGAGAGAGAGAAAGAGAGAGAGAGTACTATACATGTAGGTATACGCCTACACTGCAGTGAGTGTATATCACCTCAGTAAGTCGCTCGGAGACGCCACTAATTTTTACCAGCTGTGAGAGGCACGGGAGCGGGGTGAACAAAATGGCATACTACGTAGGTAAGACAATTACAGATTTTTTTAAACCTTGTACATGATATTTTTCTTATTTTTAAAAAGTGTAGATAAAGATAAAGATTCGGATTTGTAAATAATATTTTCCAAAATAAAAGAAATCGATAATTTTAAATAAAACATAAATTTTGGTAAAAATCTGATTTGTTTTCGATCATTGATACGCTGACGTCATTTCTTGTAAAAATCGCTTTTTTTTTTAAATGTTTCCAAATTAAGTTATTGTATTAAGTAAATACAATTCAAATGTCTGCTGTTTGTGCAACAAAAGCAAACGAACATGCAATATGCTTATTAAGTAAAGTTTGTGCAGTATATAGATTTGTTCAAGATATAATTGAAATACTTATACTCTACCCAAGTCGTTTTTAATTTATTTGTAAAACCCTATTAAACAGCTCCTAAAACCATTTATTTCTGGTTGTAAATAGTGTGTGCAAATTAAAATAATATAAGTATTTTTCATCTATTTATTTGTTTGATATTGTGTTTTGCACTGTTAGCATAGCGAAGCAAATTCTTGAGAGATGACTTTCTAACTTCCTCATTCCAGTCGGCACATTAGTTTACTCTGTCGTCATGCAGTTCTGTAGATAATTGTTCTGACTCGAGCTTTCCATGTTCTGCAAACCTTAATAAGTCATTGTCAACCTTTGTTGTATAAGCGTTGTTATAGATACCCAGATAAAATCACATTCTTTTCAACAAGCATGAGGAAAGTTCTTGAGACTTGGTTGCACAAAATGTTTCATAAAAGTAATTATGTACAATTTTCAACTTTTCTTCGAGGTATATGGAGTACGTCTTACTTGTACATGCAATAAAATAGTTGGGTGAAGTCACTCAGAAGTGCTTGGATCTGAGATTGTTCCCATGCACATCACAACACAGTTTACTATTTAGATATAGTTATAAAGACTGAAGGGAAAATGTACAAGATCTGTGGGTTTTTTTTTCAAAATTAATATATCTGTTAACAGCTGATAATTCCACATCATCCATGTTTTTAGCATTATCAGTTCCCATGGGGTTGGGTGAAAGAACACAAAACACAATGAGTTACAGGTATATTTCCTTTATTTCTTAATTTACTAGTAAGAGTGAAAACTATTCTAGCTCCTTTATAGCAGCCCCAGATTTACGAGATCAATTGCTCTAGACAGAAACAATTCATCTGTTAGAAAGCAGAGCTTCTTATACCAGGTGAACCACTGTTCTCCTAATCCACAACACGTGTCAGGCGTGAGTACAGTTGCAGGTTTCTGTAGAATCTGACCAGCTCCGTACATTACAAAGCTCTGTACCTCTGGGTAGATTTCAGTGGTGTTATCATATTATCTAATACCTTATGGACATACACTACCCCCTACTTATAGGGCAATGATATTCATTTCTCAATAATAAGTTTATAAGCTTTGATTATATACTTTACGTAAACAAATTATGATTGAAACTTTAATCTTTCTTACCTGTAGTTTTAAAAATGCTCTTGGTTTCAGGTCAAAAATGTACCTGGACCTTAAAAACTAAATATTTTGCATACAAGTAGGTGTTGCTTTGACAGTTTGTACAAGTTTAGGAAAGAGTGTTTTGGGTGTTTTGTGTCTATGTACGTTGAGTAAGTCTTTATAAGTTTGAAAGATTAATTGATGTAGGATTGTAGCCTATATGTTATTCGTTAAACTTCTTAGTTGGCAATCATTTCTGCTGAAGTCAGCGTCCTTGCACCAGACACTTTCAGCATTGTAGTTTTGAAGTTTAATTTCTTATTTCTTTAATTTAAAACTTCCAATTTTTAAAGAATTTAAAGAACCTTTTTGCAATCTTATATTGCCTGGTAATTAAAGTTGTGCGCCTCCTCTAAATTATTTTTTTGAAAATACCAGCTAAAACTATGATTATGTTAATTTTCAAAAAAAAGGAAAACATTTTTATCATTTTATGTGTGGTCAAATCTCCTGGAAATGCATGCTGGTTTTTTTGTGTATGAACATCTTATGTTACTATGATTCATAATTGAGAATATTTCTTTTAAAAAATATCAGTGGGAAAGGTGCAGTCTTGTAGAATTATTTGTGTCTATGTACGATGAGTAAGTCTTTATAAGTTTGAAAGATTAGTTGATGTAGGATTGTAGCCTATATGTTATTCGTTAAACTTCTTAGTTGGCAATCATTTCTGCTGAAGTCAGTGTCCTTGTACCAGACACTTTTACACATCTGTTATCATGCACTTGCAATCTTATTTGCTTATATTCATTCAAGATGACATATCATAGATTGCAGATATGTTCATACCTTTAGGTATGTTACCTACATCTAAAGAATTTTCGGTCTCTTGTGAGATTTTATGCAATGCTGTGTTGTTTTGTAGAATACGATGACCCTGCCTGGACTTATGTCTATGTACCACCATACAGTTATGACGACGAGCCCCTAGGTTTCTACGTTAACCCACGAGAACATCCATACAACTACGACGATAGCATCTATGAAATTCGTAGACGTCGTTATGCCATTGAAGACTGGAGTCCTGATGATGACTGGTCCTACACCCCGCTTCCCAGGGACGCCTCACCTAGGAGACGCCGCGCGCGCTCGTCTGTTCGGGATTACATACCCGTTTCGGAATATACTCCACGACCTAGATTTGCATCCCCCGTCCGAAGACGTGCACGTTCCGTTGTCAGGGATTATGTTCCCGTCAGAGTTCCGGAATACATCCCACCTCCGGTTGCTTCTATTCCTGTTCACCGGAAATCCCCGTATGTCGGTAAATAAGCCAGGCAGTTAAGGTTTGATAGCAGGACAAGCTGGGTACCTTTTGCTTCTGCTAAAGAAGATGAATTTGCTGTTAATCTTGATTTGAAATCAGACGCTTTGAATAGGGGACTTTTGAGACGAGACATCGATACTGCCTTGCGTTCATCGTATGCTAACAAAGGAAGATCTGAGGTGCGTTCGAAGAGGGATTTTGCTCTAAGTGAGCTACAAAGGCTCGATAGAAAACAAGCGCAAATTTCGAAAAATCTTACCCATTTTAAGCGTGATATTTTAAGGGCAAAACACCAAAGCCAGTACAGAAACTTCTAAGATGAGAATCATGAGAACTGTAACATCCTTTGACCTTGTATAGTTTTAATCTGAATGTTCATTTAAAAGCAACTGTGACGGTATTTATGCTTTCATTACACGAATAAAAGAATAAAGAATATTATAAATGTAAGCATCGTGTTTTAATTTAAATTGAGTAAATTCAAAAGCATGAAAAGACCAATATGCTAGACCATAGTTGCAGTCGAAATGCTTCATACAGTAAAGCTGAAAATTTTATAACTTTTTCGACTTAACTATAATTAACAGCTTCAACTGTCATAGAGGAGCTGTTTCCAGATACCGGTATTTCCTAATAATTGAAGTATTTTTAACCAAACAAAATTATATCTCTTGCAGATTCTCAAAAGGAAATGCACTTAGCACAGTAAAGTTCATGGTTAAACGTCACTGACATTATGTGTATTATCAAGGGCATCTGCTCATCACAGTTTCATCTACTGAGGTTCCCTACTTTTGTCTTTGAGGCGAAGAACCATACTTTTATCGCGTCATCTTCTGTCAGACGCAATAAAGTTACTTCACCTCAAGATAAAAACAAATGTATGCTAATGTAAACCAAGAAAAGTTTAGATTCGCCTGGAGCTTAAGTCAAAAAAATTATTAGTTCACCTGCAGATTAATAATATTCATGATTTTGAAACTTAAAAAAAAATCGTTGGATCATGCACTGATTTGACCAATTAAAAAAAGTAAATTATAAGAAATGTGCACGTATATATTTTTAGCTCACCTGAGCCGAAGGCTCAAGTGAGCTTTTCTGATCACATTTTGTCCGTCGTCCGTCCGTCCTTCCGTCTGTAATTTTTTCACATTTTCAATTTCTTCTCAAGAACCAATGGGCCAATTCTAACCAAACTTGGTACAAAGCATCCTTGGGTAAAGGGAAGTTTAAATTGTTAAAATGAAGGGCCAAGTCCCCTTACAAGGGGAGATAATCAAGAAAAGATAAAAATAGGGTGGGGTCACTAAAAAATCTTCTAAAGAACCACTGGGCCAGGAAAGCTGAAACTTATATGGAAGCTTCGTTGAGTAGCGTAGATATTAAATTGTTAAAATCATGACCCTCAAGGGAATGGCGGGGCCACAATAGGGAATCCAAATTTTACATAGAAATATATAGAACAAGTCTTTAAAATTCTTCTTCTCAAGAACCACTGGGCCAGGAAAGCTGAAACTTATGTGGAAGCATCCTTGGGAGTGTAGATATTAAATTATTAAAATCATGACCCCCGGGGGTAGGACAGAGCCACAATATGAAATTTAAGTTTTACAAAGAAATATATAGATCAAATCTTTAAAAATCTTCTTCTCAAGAACCACTGGGCCAGGAAAGCTGAAACTTATGTGGAAGCATCCTTGGGTAGTGTAGATATTAAATTGTTAAAATCATGACCCCCGGGGGTAGGGCGGGGCCACAATAAGGAATCCAAGTTTCACATAGAAATATATAAAAGAAATCTTTAAAAATCTTCTTCTCAAGAACCACTGGGCCAGGAAAGATGAAACTTATATTGAAGCATCCTAGGGTAGTGTAGATTCTAAAGTTTTAAAATCATAAAAGGGAAGGGGGTAGTGGGGCATGATAGGTATAGCAAGAGGGGGAATCTGGTAAAGAACTGTATCACCCAAGTTACTCAGGTGAGCGATGTGGCCCATGGGCCTCTTGTTATGGTTATTTTCTTACATTTACTGAAAATTGATAAAATTTATAGATACACCTTACAATAAATATAAAAAAAATATATAAAAATACTGTAGAGTCTTTTTCCATTTCTGGCAAGTTAAGGTCAGATGACATGTTCCTCAAAATTATATATAATTTTTTCTAAGAATTTGTCATTTAAGTATAGGCACTAAAGTTTCCACACAAAAAATTAGGGTACCTTAACAGGCATTTGGCCAAGATACTGCAGGGTCATATTTCTTATATAAGCTTTATGGTTAATATTCTAAATGGCCTACCGGTATAACAGAATTTTTGGAGTACTTATAATTAAAACATTTTGAAAACAATCTAAAAATCAGGAGAGAATGACAAATATGAACAATTTTTAATATAATACCAAGAGATGCAAGATATGTCTTTGAGGAACGCGTCATCTGACCTTAAGCAAAGGCGAGCGTGTAGAGCCCTCAGACGGGTGACCGCTTCATGTTTCAAGATTGGTGGCAGCGTAGTGACTATTGTTTAGTGTCCTGCTTTAGGAAGCGTTATTTTTTTAGCTCTAGGACTTTGTGTCCATTTAGAGACTAAGTATCGTGGACGGCAGGAGTTAAAATTATTCCTGCTTCAGAAATCTCTGGGGTAAGCCTATGTGTCCGTGTATGAGTGAGACAGTAAATTGTGATGTAAAAGAATCAATTTCTACATTTTTTTTCAACATAAAGGGGTTTTAAAAAATATCTAATTAAAAAATAAATTCACTTTCGGATAAAAAATAATTATCAATCGTTTCAGCTTTCTACTGTATCAGATGACCATTTTTCATTAAAGGTTAATTTATATTTTAAATTACATTTTCAATAGTTTTTTTTCTTGAATTTAATAAAAAAAAAAATTATGAAACAAATTAATAACATACAATGGTAATTCTTGGTACGAAGAATTAAAGAACTAGAAGGAAATCATAGGAAAATAACTCTCAGTATTCGGCTTTATAAAATGTGTCCAACTTCTAGAAATAGATTTATTAATGATAATCAAAAACATTGTGAGCTGTTAACAACATTTAATTTACTGACTCCACAAAATCATCAAACATCTTTAAGGCATAATACTGAGATCATGAACAACATCATAATATTATTATTAATTACACTGCTTAAAGCAATCATTTCACAAGATATTGATCAAAAATACCTGTTTCCTTTTTCAAGCATTTCCTTAGAATACTTGGTGTACCAGTTTCATTATGTATACATTTTTACAAAAACACCAATCCTCCACCTGATCATCATGAAAAATAAGCTTTACAATTTGATTATACATATTGCATGTGTGAAAATAAATAATTCAAAAAATAAAAAAAATTCTACAACATCAACAATAAAAGATAACAATAACAACATTTAATAACAACAGGTCAAACAATTATATACATCTGAATTATTTGTGTTTTACCTGATGAAATATTTGAATAAAAAAGCAATAAATAAAATCACAGAATATTGCATGGCAATTAGTAAAATGTAATGCCATATTAATAGACATATAGGTAGTAGCATGTTTCAGCTCATTAAATGAAAAACCTTGTGATGGCACAGCGTCTTCCAAATTCTAATACTCTGAATTAAAAAAGTAAAACAGATCTAATTCATTTTTGTTTTATTCTTCTCTGGTTTCTGACTAGATAAATTTAAAAGTATATTTGCTTTTATGCCTTATATATTTAGGTGTAAGAGATTGTAAAGACCATATTTTTCTTTCCTCAACATAATTATACAACTTTAAATAGAAATGGTAAACTATTATTGAAGAATAGCAGGGACTACATTTTTGGCAGAATGGCAGCATATGAAAATATATCTTCTTTTCTACTTCTCAAAATTATTATAGAACAATGTATTTAGGTATAATTCTTACACAATCATGATCAAAGACTTGAAGAAATTTTCAAATGTAATTTTAATTAATAATAAGGGACTAAAGTTTCAAACTATATTAAATAAATATGATTTTTTCAAACAAAATAAAACAGTATTAGCTTTTAAAATTTCCAATCTTAGTTCAGATTTGAGCCCAAATTCCGTAAAAAGTATTTTTCTCTCTCTTAGTAAACAATCTTTTATCATTTCGTATCTTTATGTGACAACTTTACTATATGTGAGAAAAACAAAAATTTAAATATAGGAAGCATATGAAAATAACTATTAAGTTCCTGGAGAAAAAGTCTTAGTGTAATAAGTACATTTTTTCAGTATGATTGTATACCGGCAATGATAATAAGAATATCTCTCTCTCTCAAATTAGCTTTCACTAAAAATGTACATTTATGCCATGTTTCACGTACATGTACTTCCAGGTCATATTAACCTTTATTGATACACTCTTATTACATATTCTAGATAACCTGAAAGGTAAGACTCAAATTTACAGGTAACTAATGGAAGATGTATACTCACCGTCAATAGAAACACAACACCTTAAATTTAGGGTGAAAATTATGTACAGGATATAACTATGTACCAAAAAAGTTAGGACATCTTTAACTTTGCCAAATCAGTTTTTTGACGGGTGAATGATTTTCATTCCATTACCGGAAGTTGATTTTTAGCCTTCTTAACAGAAATCAAATATTAGCAATTTTGATAAAACATTTGACAATATTTTGGTTTTTAAGGTTTTGTACCTGTTTATCATAAGTATTGTACTAAAATGCCGGGAAAAAATATTTCTTTCTTTTCCGGATGTGATTTCCTGTATTTCCTCAAAATTACCGAAAGCACGGATTTCATTGCTAATGCTGGAAATTCTCAAAATAAAGAAAACGTAGAGCTACAGATGCAAATATACGCTACATAACGACTTTTCTAACTCATGTGTTTCAAAAGCATGAATGACAGTTCATTGACCGGAAGTCTAAGGGTTACTACACTGCGCCTAGTTAGAGAAAATTTGACATCAGTATCTGAAAAACAGGCAATTAAAAATGCGCAAGAATATTTATTTTGCTCAGATAAAGACATTGATAAACCTAATGCAAGGTAGAAATCGGACTGCGTACACTGTATGTTGTACATGGCGGACTAGCATGTTTTGATTAAATGGTCAGAAGGGGGGTGTTTTTTTTTAAATGTTATCTGTTAAGAGGGCTAAAAAATCAACTTTCGGTAATGGAATGAAAACCATTCAACTATTAAATAACTGATTTGGCAAAGTAAAAGATGTCCTAACTTGATTGGTACATAGTTGTTGCGTTTTCATTGACGGGCAGTATATAATATACAGATAGTTCAGTAATTTTTAAAAAATCTATTACGATTGTCTTTATACTAAAGGAATGATGTCTTTTAAAAGTAAAAGGATAGGAATGTAATTAATATGCTCAATCAACTTAATAAACAATATAGCATAATTAATATAACCTTCACTGTCTCTGTTTCTCTGCAATTAATCATAACTATCTATCAGCTGTACCTATGTAAAAATCTTTCATTATCATATATAAACCAATAAACCAGCTCATCCAGACATAAAAAGTCTATCTATGCTGCAAGACTATAAAAAAAATATATAGATCATGTTTCATCATTTCTTACATTCTAAGAAAATGTCACTCAAAATTTTTAGTATTAAATCAGTATTTTAAATAAATGTTAAAGACACAAAAATGATTTAATATCGTACTAATTCCTGGTTATTTAATCAGAAATTTCTATCATAGCATTACGGAATATGTAAAATATTCTATTTTCACTTAAAATAATAAAGTGCCGTGCCACAGCATGATACGCCCATCAAAAAAAATACAATTTTCTTGAACAGTTTAGCATGCAAGAAAATCATGTCAACCTTGATTCTAAGATTTCCATGATTTTTCCATTCCTTCAAATATTTATCCATTCCCTGTGATGTAAGCATTAATTATAATAAATATTACATCATTCTATGCTGGTTGTGTTAGACCTTGTCAAATGCCCATCATATTTAACAATGTCAAATTAGTCATAACACCTTAATCTATACCAAATTAATTTTGAAAAAAAAGGCTGGCCATCAAATGACATATGCTATAAACTGACCAGCACTTCTTCTGTCTAATCCCCAAAGGATACAGATAAGACTGCTTCATCAGATAGCCTTCCTACATTGAACTCAATAATTAATCTTTAACTGGACGCTTGTCTACTCATTACAACCAAGAGATGAATGGGTCTGCACTATATACCATAATTTTTTTTTTTAAACATATAAAATATTCAAAGATATTTTTTAGTTGAGATTTAATGTCCGACAGGTTTTAATATCTAATTCATATGGACATGCTGATTCCACCCCACCCTATATTTAAAAATTAGCTTTTAAATTAATATTATATAATATCAGATTAGTCTATTATGCAATATCAAATTAGTTTTAATTACTTTTCATCAAATTCATTTTAAAACTTAGGCTAGCCAACAAGAGCTATTTTTAATCCAACAGGCTTACCCATCTGCCCAATACCCAAGGGATATAGATAACACGATGCTCTATCAGTTAAATCCTCACACTCAAAACTCATTAATTTCTCTCTAATTTGACATGCAAATTTCTGTTACCAAAATTCTTCTTGGCCAGTGCTTGATAATTACACTCATGGGAGAGGTAGGATTTCTCTAACATATATTATGTTTGTTATAGATTGCTGTCAAGTATATGCTTAAAAATTAAGTATTTTCTTGATTTAACACTTTTTTAAAAAGGACAGTGCAATACTCTTACATTATTTGGGATGCTTAAATGAATAGTAAAAAGAAACATTTTTTTTTTTGAATTTCACTTAAATCAAAGGTCACAGTGACCTTAAAATAGGTCGCGACACAATTTCTACCTAAGATGCATAAACTGGCCAAGTTTGATGATTGTAAGTCTTATAGTTTTCTAGTTATGGGCCAGAAAGGATTTTTCCATATTTGGCTATAACATTTTAATAAAAGGTCAGAGCGACCTACTTTTTGTGCGCGACACACCTTCCACCCAAGATGCATCAGATGACAAAGTTTGATAATCCTAGGCCTAATAGTATTAAAGTTATGAGCCAGAAACAAAAAAGCTAACAGACGGACGGACAGATGGATGGACAGGAAGCCTATAACATAATACGTCCCTTCTTAAGACGGGCGTATAAAAAGAAAAATAGAGTTACATGTATATCTAATATCTTACTTATCAAACACACTTTTTAAAAAGTACATATAGTTATTGTATTGATTACTAGAACTATGATATCAATTAAGCAGGAAGTTTTTCTTTTATAAAACTAGCTGAGAAAAAAGTTTACCAAACATTTACTACCATATCAATTAAAATACAGATCTACAACAGATAAACTACTTTCTCACTAAAGCTCAATCTATTGCACATTTATTAAGTTTTTTAGACATAATTTCAGAGATCCTGAGGTAAACACTGAACACCCATTCCCCTCCTCTTTGGCGTCCTTTCTCCTCCTCTCTGGTGATTTATTTTATATAGTTATTCTCACATCATAGATCATCTTTGATATTTTCGTCCACTTGTGACATGTACCCCGTGGGAACCTCCGCCCACTCTTGTCTGTGGCCCGAGGCCAGCAGTCCATATATAACACCCCCTGCTAGGTAGATTCCTGCCGCTAGGTAAAACACAATCTGCCATTCACTCTTGTCATGCTGAAAGGTATATAAAGTGTTGCATTAAAGATGGGGCTATTTCTTGTTTTTCATTGGTATTTGGTCAAGTTTTTAATTCATATAATTTCCTATTAAAAGAGCATTTCCTCTTCTAGTCCAAGTTCATGTTTTCCAGGCTTTTTTCACAATTGTAATATTTTACGTGCCAGAAAAACGTCAAAACTGGCACCATTACAAAAACAGGGAAATTGCTACCTCCAACCCGAGGTGGCATTCTCAGGTTGATTTTCAATACTTGCAAACCGAATTAAAGTCAAACTCACAACTTATCAATGGTACAATATTTTAGTACTCAGTCGGAAAATAGCTCTTCAGAGCTAATGTTTTTTGTTGATGTACCCGACTTTAAATAAATATTATCTTATCTATCTTTTATCTCACCATCATCATTTTTATGATATTTTTATGAAATGTACAATTCGATGAAAACATTTTATTACACTGTCCAGATTTGTTTTCATTTTGTGCATTTCAAAATCTTGCAAGTCCTGTATTGTGGAGTGATGTTTTCTTTCTTTCCATATTGGTGAGTACTAGAAAAATTGTGCTATTGATAAATTGTGAATTCGGCATTATAATTGGTTTGTAAGTATCGAAAATTAAGTGCAATTGGACATATTGGAGATGGCGAAATTTCCAGTTTTCGTACTGGCACCAGTTCTAGCGTTTTTTTGGCACATAAAATATCAAGACAGTAAAAAAAAAAGCCTGAAAAAATGTCAAATATTATTTGTATCATATCATGCAAGATAATCACTATGCATTTTTGTGGCTCTTTATCTAGAAATGCATGTATGCAAACAAGCTCAAATAATTTAATTTTGTTTGTATTCTAGCCTCTCATTGGTTGATTTCCAAATTGCAAAAAGGAATGCAGATTATTCTGTATTATCTGGTTTGGTATGGGGACACACCCCCTTGACAACCAGCTGAATCATCTGTATCCATGCAATCCCCTCATTTCCAGTCATCGGGATTCATGGAAAATTCCATATTTAATAAATATACCTTTAACTTCAAACAGTAGCTCAATTTTACCTTGTTTAAACAAACATCATGGCTACCAGATCTGTGTATCAGTTATACCTCCTCTTGTTTCCCATCACTTCCGTTACTATACTACATTTGTATTACTGAGCGGCAAATTTGAACTCATAAAAAGCAACACAATTTTACATCCACAGATGTTTAATTATTTTAAAATTGAATTATAAGGAACTACTCCAATTCTTTGCCAAAGTATTCGAGTATAATCTGGTTTGGGTCAGTTTACGCTCTTTTATAATCCACTTCGCGGATTATAAAGCCTAAACTGACCCAAACCAGTTTGTATTGAATAATCTGGACAAGAATTAGAGTCATTCCTTAAATGTTTGAGGTGAAAATCCAATCAAGTTCAATATTCAATGCATATGTTAACATGTACAATATGTGTCCAGTGTCTAAACCATTGCAGAAATTTGATGACTTGGAAAATTTAGATTACCTGATTGCTGACTATCACACCAGTTAGTCCAGGGCTGACTATTCCAGGAATCGTGGCAAATGTGTTGGATATTCCCATTAAAATACTGGCATACTGCAATTATGAATTAAAAGCAATCAGAACATTCATTTTTATCCTCCATCAGTTATGTATCGGAATCTGTTCAAAATATAAATACTCTAGTAAAGGCTTCCAGACCAAAAGCTCAGTTAGTCACCAAATTTGTGCTTATCTCATTTTTCTATTTGCAACTTAATGCCAAACAATATTTTCAGTTTTTAAAGATATGTATATTTTGATTGTAACATTTGATGACATTGTGTTTATATATGTTTGTCAGCCTTTTTACCATGCAAATGTACACCATTTTTATGAAAGGATGAAGCAACATTAAAATCATAACTGTTCTAGCAACACCATACCCCAAAGTGTATAGTAAACAGACAAAGTAGTTCCTTGTGAACCAAAGTTAAGAAATATTTCAGTTACCTGTGGAGCAATATCTAGATGGTTGACACTGAATCCTCCCCAGGCAAAGCCCCCCAGCCCCACAGCAATGGTCACACAAACAACGGCCGCTACCGGGGTCATCAGATATCCAGCTGCTACCATAAACACCAGCTGGCTCAGGAAGGCTAAAATTATAAGTCATGTTTAAAGATAATTTTAATTAAATTTTTTTATGTAATCTAATTCATTGATGTTTTTTCTATACAAAAGGAGACTTCATACATTTTTCTCTAGATGTATTTTAGAGAAAATGAGTTTTTATCTATTTTTCATAAATTAAATAAATTTCTATACAAAAAATATGTTGATCAATAAAATTGCTTTTATCAATAAAATTGCTTTTTTATGGTTATTCTGTGAGCTTAAAAATATGCGAAAGGTTAAGACAAAATTTGTGGTGCTTGGTATTAAAACGCCATGGGAAAAATATCTTGAAACTTGTGAAATCATTATTTTAAAAAATCTATATAAATTATGTTTTAATTCCAGGCCAGTTTTTAAAGGTGGATATGTTTGTTATTAGTAATGCTCAGTAATATGAGAACATAAGCTGGGGTGTGTGGAGGACCCTTAAAGCATGCATTTTATTCTGATATCACAAATAAGAATGGCAAAAGAAGTTCAACGTCATATTTAGGGAAAATCAAAAATCATCATGACATTGACTAGAACCTGTTACATTAGCTCTTCCTTTTTAAAACAGTACCTTACACGAAGGATAATACATGGATTTTGAAATATAACATGTGCCGTAAATTAAGGCCGAATTTTTAAGAATGTATATATAAGCTATGAATTGTTATTTTTATAGATATAACCTGCAACAGAGTGTGCAAACAAATTTTCATGAAGCGCATTACTCAATTTGTTTCCACGCACCATTGCAGTTATGATGCTACATAGTTTATCTTTCAAAATACATTGATCATAACTTAAGTAAAGGTTTAATTGCCTGTTCTAGCAATAGCTCACTTGAGCTTTCACCTGAGCTAAAATTAGGGAAACTGTGTGGATTAGTATACATTAGTATATTACAGTACACAATACTAGTATATAGTATACAAAAACATTATCATCATACCATAATACATTATGACATAGATGGGCATTAAAAGAGGTCCTTGGTCCCAGTTTGATTTGTCAAAAGGTCTGTGAGTCTTATCTATAATCTTTAATAAAAACACACAATATATCCAATCTGAAAGCAAGTTTTGGTCAAGTACAAAAGCACAAAAGACATAACTAAGACTTGAAATAAAGCACTGAATAATGCAAAACAAATAGATGACTATGATTCTCCAAACGATGTTGTCAGTTGAACAAATACATTCTTACCTCCACATGTAAACATTTTCCTGACAGCAACAACTGATAGCTGGCAGTGTGCCAAAAGGGAGTCTGCTAGGAAACCACAGGTCATCACCACCAGACCCATCACAGCATAGGGCAGGGCTGCTAGATATCCAGCCTAAAAATAAAAATATTAAATCAATCACAGCATAGGGCAGGGCTGCTAGAAATCAAGCTTAACCAGAAGTCTCTGTCGAGACTGTAGCTCTACTGGTTTATACTCAAAACAAAGGAAGAGAAAAGTAGCAGTTGTGACTTTAAACTTTAAAAACAGCAAAAAATAGAATTGAAAAATGATCCTTGCCACTCATCAAAGCAAAAACCGATGCACAGAATTATGTATCTTATGAAATCAGGCCAAAACTGTAAAAGGAGTAGCATTTTGAAAGAATTTCACAAAAATTTCTATTTTTAGTAACCACGGCAACACCGTTCATTGAAATCAAAAACTGATGCACAGAATTATGTATCTTAGTGTAGTCTAATGAAATCAGACCAAAACTGTAGGAGGAGTAGCATTTTGAAAGAATTTCACAGAAATTTCTATTTTTAGTAACCATGGCAACACCGTTCATCGAAATCACAAACCGATGCACAGAATTATGTATCTTGTTGTAGTCTACTTGTGTGCCAAGTTATATTGAAATCAGACCAAAACTGTAGGAGGAGTAGCATTTTGAAAGAATTTCACAGAAATTTCTATTTTTAGTAACCATGGCAACACCGTTCATTGAAATCAAAAACCGATGCACAGAATTATGTATCTTACTGTAGTCTACTTGTGTGCCAAGTTATAGTGAAATAGAAGCAAAACTGTAGGAGGAGTAGCATTTTGAAAGAATTTCACAGAAATTTCTATTTTTAGTAACCATGGCAACACCGTTCAACGAAATCAAAAACCGATGCACAGAATTATGTATCTTAGTGTAGTCTACTTGTGTGCCAAGTTATATTGAAATCAGACCAAAACTGTAGGAGGAGTAGCATTTTGAAAGAATTTCACAGATATTTCTATTTTTAGTAACCATGGCAACACCGTTCATTGAAATCAAAAACCGATGCACAGAATTATGTATCTTAGTGTAGTCTACTTGTGTGCCAAGTTATATTGAAATCGGACCAAAACTGTAGGAGGAGTAGCATTTTGAAAAATTGTTTACAGACAGACGGACGGACGCCGGACGCATTACTATCGCATAAGCTCTTCTGGTCTCTGACCAGTAGAGCTAAAAATATCAGACCAATATAAACATAGGGCAGGGATGCTAGTTATCCAGGCTAAAAATATCAGACCAATTTCAGCAAAGTGTAGGGCTGCTAGATATCTAGCTAAACAATCAGACCAATATCAGCAAAGTAGACTAGGCTGCTAGATATCCAAGCTAACAAGCATTCTGAGAGTATTGCATAAGCAATACATGTCCCCTACTGGGTTCCACTTTTTCTTTAGGATGTCATTTCATAATATTCAAAAGTTATGTCCAAGGTAAAACTGCTTGATTTTGAGGTTGTGAATGCTTTTAATCTTACAAAATAATCCACATAAATACGAAAATTTAACTCATTTATTCAATGTCTTTTTCTTGCTTTATATTTACCATCGGAATTTAGCGCAGCATGAAACCCGATCTTAAACCTTAATAATTCATTAAAAATTTAAAATGCCATAATTTTGTCAAAAATCAAACAAGCGAAAAAACTTTCAAACTTGATCTGTAACTCATAAAGATACACTCACATACCAAAATTCAGCTAAATATCTGGAAGTGCGTAGAAAAAAGTGCAGAAAACCAAGTAGGACAACTGACGGGGACAGACAAAAGGACGGACAGCTAGACAGACTGAAAGGCAGACGCCGAGGAAACCTTTAGTCCCCTCTAGTTTCACCAGTAGAAAACTAAAAAATACAAATCAAATCACAGGGCAGGGCTGCTAGATATCCAGCCTAAAATTATCAGACCAATATCAGCAAAGTGCAGGGACACTAGATATCACGTCTAGAAATATCAAACCAATATCAGAATAATACAGGGCTGCTAGATATCCAACCTAAAAATATCAGACCAATCATTGCATACGACAGGGCTGCTAGATATCTAGTCTAAAATATCAGACCAATCATAGTATAGGGTATTGCTGCTAGATATCCCACCTAGATATATCCAGTTTACGTATAAAATATCAGACAAATCACAGCTTAGTGCAGGGCTGCTTGAAATCCAACCTAAAAATATCAGACCCATCACAGCATAGGACAATGCTGCTAAATATCCATCCTAAAAATATCAGATTAATATTTTACCTATCACACTTCAATGCACACTTTGTTTCTAGTGCAAACTACTTGTGTATATTCACTTCAAAGTTATGCCAAATCAAGAATTTCTAGGTGACTGAAGGAATTCATGACTTTGATCTTACTCACAAGAATGATGCCTAAGGGACATATGGCTCACATGCATACTTTGGCAACTGCTGGGAAAAAAGCAGAATTAGTTTAATAATCAAAAGTTTCAAAACATGATTTGTACAAACTTGATTCTGCACTACCTGTTCATGCTTTGTACTAACATGTTTAATATCAGCTATGCTAAAAAAGGATTTTCAAAACATCCTTCCTATTTCTATGTTAAATTTTTACGCTTTTTTGCAGTCCCACCCTAACACTGATTTACATGAACTTGTGTCTTCAACAGTCCTGTGTTATGATTTGAACAAACTTGTGTCACAATGTGTCTACTCTATGTAATGAAGCTTTCACATCTTTCTGTTTCATCCAGTGGCTCTTGAAAAGTGTACAGACAAAACAAAATATTACAGATAGACAGATGGACACTTTTCAATCAGTAAAACTCACTTGAGTCTGTAATTGGTTCGGGTGAGCTTACAAAAGAAACATGCATATTAAATATATCATTAAATTTAAATGAACTTACATTTTGTATGTCAAAATTCAGAGCATACTTCATGAAGCTGGGAAGCTCTGTGAGCCAAGTGTAGAATCCCCAGTTCTCAGCAAAATGAGCAGCAACAATAGCCCACACCGCAGGGGATCTAAAGATGTCCAGCCAGGGTGGAAGTAAGTTCTGAACAAAAACAAAATAAACATCATAGTCACAATAACCCACATAACAGGGGATCTAAAGATG